TCTTCCTCCTCTTCCTCCTTCTTCTGTACTGGGGATTGCCCTCAGGGGCACTCCACCACTGAGCCACACCCCAGCCCTATTTTGTATTTTATTTAGACAGGGTCTCACTGAGTTGCTTGGTGCCTCGCTTTTGCTGAGGCTGGCTTTGAACTTGCGGTCCTCTTGTCTTAGCCTCCCCATCCTTTGCTTTATTTCTCACCTCTGTCTCGTGCACCTTTGGCAGATGGCCTGGCAGGACCCCACATTGTGCCTCCAAGCTGTGTAGGCCATCGTGCATGAGGGTTGAGGGTGCACGGGGGCCCGAGTTGGGAGGGAGTTGCCCCTTGTCGGCACGCTGGGTCTTCCTGCACCAGGGTCCCCTGGAGGCCAGGGCTCTTAGCCGCACTTGGACTCTTGGCTCCCTGGACTGTTTCTTCACCTGTTTCCCTTTCTGCTGGCGGAGCCTTGGAGACAGGTCCTCCCCACGGGCCTGCCCTTTCCTGCCAGCTGCTTCTCCTGCCCCTGTGGTCCCCCTCTTCCCCGAGTCCTTTGGCAGCAGCAGTGGCTCGTGTGCAGTGCTCTCGGTGCCGCGGCTCCTTTCTCTTCTCCCAGGTCCTTCCCGGCTCTTCAGCGGGGTCAGCTCCCCCAGGGCTGCGACTCCTGATGAGGTGGAGGGCTGCGGTTGCGTCACATCTTCTGGGGTGTCCAAGGCGTCTTCATTTTCCTCCAGTGGGTTCAGTGCCCTTGGGACCAGAAACAGCCCAGGGTAGTGGGGGAGTGGAGAAAGACCAGCCCCCGGGAGGACAGGGGTGACGGGGGTAGGGGAGAGGCCCCAGTGTCACTGTCTGGCCCATCTGCTGCCTGGGGCCTTGTCCCTGTTGTTGGCTCACCAGGGACTGTCACTCTGTGATGGGTTTGCCCAGGGCTTGTGGCCAGGTGTGGTGGGGAAGAGGCCGGGGCCCAGGGCACCGCTGCCCCCCACAGGTCCCTGCAGCTGTGTTTCCCAGGGAGTGTGGGCCGCCAGCCCCAGGTCAGGAGAAGGCCCGGGCCACCAGCCTCCAGGCACCTGTGCCCCTCAGGACCGCCTCGGGTCTGTGCTGGGGTGAGATCACTGCCAGTCCCCTCAACGTCCTTTCTCTCTCCGTGGGTCCCAGGCGGCCCAGGGCTTCCCTGAGCCATGGGGACTGCCCTAGCTTTTGTGCTGCTGGGAGTGGCTACCCACTATAGGGACCAGACCCCCAGTGGGTAGGGTGTGGGTGTGGGGGGTGGGCAGACTATGTGTGAGAGGACACCCAGGTGTCCCCCTATGGCAGTTGCACCCCCGTGGTCCTCCCTTGGAGGTTTTCCTCAGGGGACACAGGCCATTAGTTCTTTCTTTTTTTAATATTTATTTTTAATTGTAGTTATTTTATTTATATGTGGTGCTGAGAATCGAACCCAGGGCCCCGCACGTGCCAGGCAAGCACTCTACTGCTGAGTCACAACCCCAGCCTGCACAGACATTATTTCTATGTGCCTTATGTCCCCTGGCAGGTCCAGGTGTGTCTGTGGGATGCTGAGCAGGAGCGGGAGCTCCCAGTGGGGAAAAGGCCCTGAGGCAGGCTCAGATGCAGGGGAGAGGGAGGGCAGGAATCTGCAAGGTGGGTCCACTGGGGAGAGGGAGGGCAGGAATCTGCAAGGCAGGTCCAGCTGGGGAGAGGGAGGGCAGGAATCTGCAAGGTGGGTCCAGCTGGGGAGAGGGAGGGTGGGAATCTGCAAGGCAGGTCCAGCTGGGGAGAGGGAGGGCTGGAATCTGCAAGGTGGGTCCAGCTGGGGAGAGGGAGGGCGGGAATCTGCAAGGTGGGATCCTGGTGCCTCTGAGGGTCAGAGCCAGAGTTGAAAGGTCTTAGAGTGTTTTATTTGCAAAAACTTAGAGGACATCCTTGCAGTTTAAGATGACAGTTTTAAAATAAAATTCTCTCCTAATGATGACTGAGCCCTGCCACTCAATGGGAGAATCAGCAGAACCTGTAGGATTTTATTTGGAATTGACATTCTCTATTGTAATTTTGTTTGTTTATTTTTAAATTTTATTTTTTGCTTTCCATGGAAAGGAAAGATGATGCTCAGTTTTAAAAGTTAAAAGTGTACAAGTTGCTTTGTTACAATTAAACTAAATGTGTACACACACACACACACACACACACACACACACACACACACACACACACACACACACACAGAGCCCTTATTCTTTAATTTAAAATTTTGCCATCTAAAATGATCTGTCTCATTAACATGGACTTTCTTTTCACCAGCACACACAATTCATACTTTTTACCTCACAAATTGGCCATAATTCTTTCCCCTATAAAATTACCTAAAATTTACACTGTTTTCCCAATAACTCACATTTATTTTTTAAAAAAAGG